CATGCTATCCATGTACGTGTCCGCTGATCACACCAACTGGGACCGCATACTGCCCTTTGTAACTTACGCTTACAACAGCGCCACTCAGTCTACGACAGGATTCTCTCCGTTCTTCCTCCTTTACGGGCGCGAACCTTCCTCATTCATGGACACCATTCTCTTGTATCATCCAGACGCTTCGGAATCCACAACTCTATCTGAAGTCGCCACCTATGCAGAAGAATGCAGGCAACTCGCGCGTTCCTTAACCGCCCAAGATCAAGCGTACCAGAAGAACCGTCACGACGAAAACCTGTCTTCGCAGTCATACTCGCCTGGCGCCTTGGTATGGCTTCGGGTTCCCTCATCTGTTCCTGGTCTTTCCACCAAGCTACTGCCGAAGTACGAAGGCCCCTACCGAGTCCTACGTCAGGCCTCACCGGTTAACTATATTGTTGAGCCGGTTCAACCATCAACAGACCGACGGCATCGAGGCCGCGAGACTGTTCACGTAGATCGATTGAAGCCGCACTACGACCCACCCGTCGTACCCGTTCCATAGGTCGCCAGGATGGCTCCTTTTCTGAGGGGGGAGTGATTTGTAGCATTGATATTTGGCACAGGCCGGAACGCCAGCTGAAGAAGAGAAGGAAGAGTGTTGTTGCTGCTCGCGCTCGCTCCGCTTGACAGCTGGTCGGTTCTACCGCTACGTTTTCCACAAAGTAAACGTCTCTTCTGCTCACCACTAAAGGTGTACTAACAATATGAACAACGTGGCCATGGAAAGAATGAACTCACAGCACATTGGCGCATACGATCCTCTACAGGCTGCTTTGACTGGAAGTGAAGGAGGCTTTCATGGTCAACGTGGTAGTGACAAATGGACATGAAAGGTTTGCATGTGGCAATGGATCTGCAGGTGGATTGCCTTTAAAAAGGCGATCCTCCTCAAGATGGTAAAACTGGAGACCGCAAAACCACGCGTCGCTTTGCTACAAGAAACCATTCTAACGGAGCTGCCCCAGGCTATTAGGCCGAAGCCCATAGAAATGAGAAAGAGAGAGGCGTAGCTATTTTTAATAAAAAGAAGATCTCGCAGATTCGTCATGAAATCTGACAGACAGCCTGCTATTTCAGACAGCCTGCTAGACAGCCTGCGAAAGAAAATACACCCAACGATCGCGTAGGGAACAATCAAAGTATTTTTCCACTAATTTATGTTGGAGCCCTGAAGACAAAAGCCAGAATTCCGGGGCATACTCAGCAAAATCGCTAACACCTCTAAAGAAGGTAATTGCAGGTGGCGGCTGAACGCCCCATAGCAAGCATGGGGCTACGCGTGTGGCTCTTACAAAACGTCTTCACACAACAGCCTGTGATCTCTACTTTATTGTTATCACAGACCTGGAAACTTCAAATGGGTGTGGTACTTCCACATGCCACGACATCACACTGGACGTCACTTTCAGCCCGCTCAGAGAGAAATGTGACTGATTCCACTCGAGAATTGACCTTGGCGGCAGTCACTACATTTTGAGAATCAACGCGAAACTCCCAGAAAAGAAGTAAAGAGAGTGCAAACTAATATAACTGAACCAATTTCGTAAAACACGTACGTAGTCGTCAGATTGATCAGGATAGAACAGAAAGAATACTATGGCAAGCTCAAGCGAACAGGCTTTAGCTGACATCGCAGCCTCAGGACAAAGAATTACCGTGAACCGACAAAATGAACAGTCGTTCAGTTAACCTGCTTGAAGCCAAGCACTTCGTACTAGCAAAGTATAAGGGTCAACCTTTCGAAATAATACTTAGTTAGAAGCTCGGTGAACTCAACACGACCATATAACAGTAATGCGCACTTCTTTCCCGACAGCAGTGGGACGAAGTACGTGACTCCATCAACGGGCAAATAGGCAAATACAGTGGATGGAGGCTCATAAAAATCCTCCTCGGCGCAAATCGCACCAAGTCAAACTCTGTGCAACGTATCAGGCTCAGGAACTTCGTACATTGCGCAAATCAATACAGTACTGCTGAAGGACTTGCTTAAGGCCTTTTCAAACACTACTTTGCAATAAAATTGTGACAACCCGGAATTTCACAGAAGAGGATTGATGGCAGTGCCCCAAATTGGGACTACACAGAGAGTGAATTTCGCTTTCCAATTCACAAACTCAAGAGTAAGTCTGTAGGCAGCCCCGATGGTGTCCAGAATTGAACTATCCAGAAATTAGATGATAATTTGGTCACCCACTTAGGTCTTACGAATCAACAAAGCCTTGAAAATTGGCCGTTTACCTGGACAATGGAAGCATACAAACATGTTCCTTACTTTAAAATCCTAAAAGCTACTGGCACTATCAGACCTCAGGCCGTTCTCACCTAAGTTCTGCATGAAAAAGCTAGCCGAGCATGTCATTTTCAACCAACTTACGGGGTAGGTCGAAAAACAGGAATACTTTCCCTACAGTATGAACGAATATAGGCCGGCTTTTTTGAGGCAAGACGCCATGCTTAGAGTAAATAAACGTGTGCTGGATCTTCCCACACAAGATACCAAGGGGCTGCTGAGACTCAAAGTGGAGCAAGCTTTTGACGACATCTGACATCAAATTACTCTGACCGCTATCTTTGATCACAATCTCGGTGCAGTATCAATACATAAACGCCTTTCTGGAAAATCAAACGGCCACTCTTCGGATAGGCGAGCAAGTTTCTAAGAGCTTTGACCTGAGCAATTTGAGAACACGAAAAGGCTCGGTCCTTTCTTCATTGTTATTCAATCTGACTATGATGAAGCTCTTTCGCGCACTGGGTTTTTTTAGAAGATATAGAGCACATCATCTACGCAGGTGATATCACCATTTGGAGCACCGGTAAGAGCAATGCAGAGTTAGAAGCCTGTATTCTAGAAGCCATCTTAGCCATCAAGGCCCATCTCACCGTAATAGTACTTCGATGCTCTTCAAGAAACTCTGAGCTACTTACCTACCATCCTTCCAGACAAAGGCACCCATCAAAAAACTGTTGCATGGACCTAAATAATTCGAACGGCAACATACCTACGGTCTATAAAATACGCATCCTAGGACTTATCGTTAGAAGTAGCGGCCTTCACTTGGTGATGATAGAGAGTATCACATTCAAGATTAAAAACGTGCTTCAAAAACTTTGGCGCGTCATGAATTGGCACAGAGAACTAAGCGAGGACTACGCCATCAGATTGGTACATGCTTTTGTGCTCTGTCACATCACGTACGTGACTGCAATGCTCAACTGGAAACAAGTAAAAGGACAAAGGCTCGAACTGCACGGAATACGCGCTTTTAGGACAGCATTGGGGCATCCTAATAATGTGTTCACTACTCTCCTCTTACAACTAGGAGTGCACAATCCCCACGCTAAGATAATCCAGGCTCAGCACATGGCATAGATAGCACGCCTATCCAGAACAAAAGCATGCATAGATATTCTGATCAAGGTCAATCTGAATACCATAGCGAAAAGGGACAACGTGTGGATTTACCAAAAGCCATGCTATACAATCAATTACGTTGCTGCTCTGCTCAGGAATGATGTAAACGCGACTCGCAATCACAGAAGTCTCAGCCGCGCAAGAGATCTCGCTGCAGCCACTGCAAAGTTTCCAACCTGGCAGCTTTTGTGGTTGCAGCGCACACATCGCAAAAGCATGCTTACTCTGTAGCATGAATTAACGAACTCAGAAGAATGCGCAACTCACTCACTCTTTGCGCCAAGAGGCCGGAAGTAGTTGAACAAACAACGATGCTCTCGTTCAGCTCTCAAGATCAGCCACTCAGCTTTCGCAAACGTCGGGATAGACAAGACGACGTTACAAATAATAGGCGGACAAAAGATCACTAATCACTCCATCGTATAGTTCCCGACACACATGGACTTCTTAGGGGGTAGCCTGCGGAATCTCAACGAGGCTAAACACGAGGCAGCGCGAGAATTCATCGGCTACGTGTCTCTGGTTTCCCTCGCAACACTTCACTTGGAGGACGAAATCACGAATTACTCTTATCAAGGCCGCTTAAGGTTCCCCCTTCCGCATAAGAAATTAACTTGCAGTCTGGCCACCCCTATGCAGTTTAACCCGACTAACTCATATTCCAGCCCCGGGTGCATAAAGCATATAGACACACACAATGCGATGTACAACATATGTGGTAACTGTGTCGAGAAGGTGCAGATTAGAATCATATGCTCTGCGGTTGTAGATCGAGGGACACCTACGCCAAGAACACGGAACAAAATGCCAAGCGCTTCGCTAGCAGACCAACATTAGGGTCTCCAGGGGCCCACGATGAAGCAGAGAGCTTCGGGCTCTCTGTGCCTAGGTGGCAGATGCCTTTTGCACCTGGAGCTTAGCTGAGTGTTCTTCAGAACCCCCTTTTGAATAACAGTTTGACCACCACCACCAATCTTTTCCGGGTATCACGTAGTGCGACTAATCGCCTTAACGCCTGTGTATTTTGCGTGGCCGAAGCATAATATCACATCATCTGTGTGAAGAGAGCTTGTGATTAAAACTTCCAACGAACTACAAAGCGCTGAGGCATATTCATTCAAAATTGACAGAAAGAGTGTAAAAAAGTCTGCAGTTGGGTGAGTGCACATAATGTCTCTGCGAAAAATGTTGGGTACTTTGCTAGTTTTCCAAACAATTATGTTACATTTAATACACCGCAAATGTGTTTCTCGCAAGTGTTCTAGCAGAGTTTAAGAATGCGGAAAACTCTTTATGGCACGATACGGCTGAACTATCCACCGAGATGCCAAGCCTAGTTGGCGAATGACAAGGCGATGAAAATGGGACACTTGCGACAGCGAAGCACCGGCTTCCTGCAAGTTTCTTGAAATCCATTCACTGAAATAAAACTCTCAATTGACTCGAACAACTCAAGCTACAAAGAGGCATTTATATCATTCAGGGTCAACTACTTGGAGTAGTTGGTGAGAAATCAAATCTAGACTTATTATATTGCACTAACCTTTCACAGTAGCCTCAATGGCCTTTGCAAGAAGCTTCTGATTTTTGTTACGCCCCTCATGAGTAAGCACAACAGCCGCAGCAGGAGCTTCTCCATATTCGGAATGTGAGAGGCCGACAACAGATATTTCCGCGATGTCAGCCGAATGTTCCCGAAGCAGGAGTTCTTCCAGTTCTGCAGGAGCCACCTGATTATCCATGCATTTGATCAGCTGTTTCACTCTTTCCACAATGAATAGCCGACCATCTTCGTCATAGTAACCAGCATCACCTGGAATGTCACAGAAACAGTAGAAATTTTCAAGCATGAGCTTGCTATTGAACAGCCCCACTTGCACAGCTACACGAAAGTCAAGAACGCACCTTAAATGGAGAAAACACCTACACATTACAAATATCGCAGTTCGTTTACTTTTTCGCTTGTTTCGCGCAAGTTGTGAGCTGCACTACAGTTCATTTCATTGAAACACGAAACAGTTTTATGCCAGAGTTCCCCAAGGCGCCGTTTACGTATTTCTGTGACACACTTGATGTTATTAAACTTAGGCTACAAACTGCCAAAAAAATTGAAAAAATATTGGCTCCGTATAGCGTGTTTGGCTGCAAATATCGTGTAACAACGACAGCCTTCCGTCTAGAGAGAGGGAAGCGGATAAAACATTTATTTGATGCTTTGCAAGAGAAATAGGTGAGAAGGATTCTGGCACCGGATGGATGGATGAGTGGATGGATGGATGGATGGATGGATGGATGGATGGATGGATGGATGGATGGATGGATGGATGGATGGATGGATGGATGGATGGATGGATGGATGGATGGATGGATGGATGGATTGATATGGCAGTACCCTTTAGAATGGGTGGTGGCTCACGTCCCCAAGCCGTAATACTTAGTGAACCAAAAACTAGATTTACTTTTTTTTCCTTTATATAGTGAGGTTGAGGATTCGTACTTTGCAGTGAAGGGATTAATTTTCACTCTTGCCTTGACTTTAGCCACCAATCAGATAACCTCCTTCTTGTTAATTTTCCTGCTTAAAGTCTATTTTGCCCTCCCTGCCTCTAAACCCTAGTGCTTTGAAAAACTTTGATAAAAAGATTAGTGACTCCATCTTCCACACCAAGTGTACCAAGTATTCCCCACAAGTCCTCTTGAACCACGGCATTGTACGCTTCCTTGATATTCAAAGATGCTAGCCGCAGGAGCCTGTGCTCTTTTTCTGATACTTCGGAGCACTGTGTCACTCAGAACAGATCGTCTTCCAACATCCTGAGTTTTCGAAACCCATTCTGCCGTTCCCCCAGCACCCACTCATCCACTATACATGCCTGCAGCCTTTGCTTTAAAATCTGCATCGCCAGCCTGTACACCACTTATGTCACTGTTATAGGACAGTAGTTGTTTATGTCAGCTTTGTCCCCCTTTTCTTTATAGATCATGCTTATACTGCTAAGTTTCCCTCCACCGGGGACCTCACAATCGATTAATATTTTGCTCACTGCCTCTCTCAAAGCCTGCATAGACTTCAGACCAATTGTACTTATCAGCATAGTTAGAATGCCATCTGGGCCTGTTGATGTACTACAAGGAACCCTCTTCTCAGCCCTTTCCCATTATCGTTGTGAAAATGGAGCCATTGCATCACTTGATTCATCCTTGTCTATTGTGGTGCAGCACATATTTGTTGAAATTTTTCTGTCACCCTTGTTCTTGTATATTAACAGCTTTGTCCCCTTCTAGCCTAGCACCTTGAGCTCTAGATATAAATCTCTGCTTTAGGCTTGTCTCCTTTTTAGGGAGTTAAGATGGTTACAAAATTTTGCAGCTGCCTTTCTATCTTTTTTGTGTACTTCTGCTAGCCACTGAGCTCCCTTTCTTCTAATCTTCTAATTGATCAGAAGGGATGAATCCCTTCTATAGCTTAGAAAGGTTACCCATTTTCTTTCAACATCATCTGTCGGTTCACCTCGCTGCTTAACATGTCTGTGTTCCCAAGAAGCTTCCTGGTGTTTTGCTATGGCTCTCTTAACTTCCTCATTCTATCAACTCTTGGGTTTGTGTCTTCTTTTTCGGGGTGACTTATCACGGGCCTTAGCATGCTCTAGCTCAGTCTAATTAGATTCGTGCATGTCCACACTGTATTATTATCCTCAGTGAATGCTTTCTCAATTTGTTTAGTAGCTATTTCTATTTGCCTTTCTGAATGAAAATTTTCCTGTTGTTGCTCATCTTGTCTTCTTCCCACTTTCTCTTCTTTTCCAAAACTTAGGTTGATACGTTTGTGATCACTATCCCGACTTCTGGAGCCACCTTCATTATGTGCATTCCCCTGAGCCTATCATACATCCTATGCGACATCAGTGCGTAATCTATCGTCGACTGCAGCCTTCCTACCTCCCGTGTTATTTGCCCTTCACACTTCTCGGTACTGTTGCAAATGATCAAATAATGCCTTTCACACACATCCATGATCAATTTGCGTGTTGAGTTGGTGTACCCATCTGTATCTTCTATATGCTCATTCAAATCTCTTAGTGTAATTATCTCGCACTTTCCTCCTGATTCCTCCATGTCTTTGTTATACACTCTACCATTGCCTGGGTTTCCTCTCTGGTCTTTGCTCCCGTCCACAAGTACACCAACCCAAGGAGTGTACTTTGCCTTGCTACTTTCTCTTTTAGCCATAAATGTTCCTTGCACTCCTGCTTGGCCCTTCGCCACTCTGTACTTTTGTGAATGAATGCCCCAATACCACCCCCATTTCTGCTGCCTTATGTTCTATTAAAATATTCCCACGCGTAGTCCGGATTGTTAGGAGGTTGTTCCTTGTCCCTAAGATGTGTTTCCACAAAACCATATACCATCGACATCTTCTCCCTTAGCTGTTCTTTTATCTCCCCACTTCAGCCTGTTCTTGCCACTCCGCATGTTGATATACCTTATGTCAGAATTGTCTCGGCGCTCGTGGCTACGTCTATTTCTGCCCCGGACTCTACCTATCTTTAAAACTGGTGCCACTTTGAAATCGTATCTGTCCATACCACCTGTCAAACAGTCTCCCTGGTTGTTCTCATCGTTACTAGCTATCCTGCACCCCGAAGGGATCACGTTCCCCACCCCCAGAAAGATACTGCGCGTCCTGCAAGTCGTCAATCCACCTCATGACCTAGCCGCCCATCGAAGTGATTTCTGTCTCGTTGAAAAGTACCCCACCTATGCACCTCTGTGTTTATTTCCACCACTTCAAAGCCTTTATCTCGACTCATCCGCCGTATCTCTCGGTTTGTGTTGACAACCGCTTTTTGTAGGTTGTCGTCACGCACCGCTACCTGTGGTATCATGCATATCACTACTTTTACCTGAGTAGAAGTGGCGCGCATGTCATCGACCCCTTTCGCCAGCGTGGTCGCTAGTTCCTATCGTATCTTCATTGAGGACATCGTTTAAACCACCTGAAATTATCACGAGGTTTCGTCTATCAGCAGCAGTTCTGAGTTTTGCGCTCGCTTGCCTGATGACGGCTTCCAGCTTGCGTCCTGGGAAAGTTCCTACTGCAACCCTCATGTCACCTCTTATCCTCTCTTTGATTGCTTCTGCACATCGATTTAAATTCGAGTCGCCAGCGATTATCACATGCTGTGACTTTTCAGCTGGAGCGTCCTGCACTGTGGGGGTTCCTTGCACCTGTGACGCCGGCTGCTTTGTCCCCTACCAGCCCCACCACTACTTCTCCGAAGTTGGGCCTGGCGACCATTGAACCGGCTGAACCTGTTTTTCCAAACTTGCTTGCTTCTCCGTCGTTCTGGTTGCCGGCGCCTTACTGTTCTCTCCATCGGCCGCTCCTTTGTTCACTTTGGCTAGTGCTTCCTCGACGGACTTCGGCCTTTCTCCCATTACCGTCATTTTTTCCTTGCTCTGCCGCCAACGCAGTTTCCACCTCAGTAATTTTCAACAGCACTTCACTCTGGGCAGCCATCGTTTTCTTCATTTTTTCATGACCTCACATTGCCTACACTTCGCGTCAGCCTCCTCATCATTTGTTCTGCACTTGGGTCTATTTTCAAACTCACCCCGCATCCTGAACACTTTACAGCCTTTTAACCATGTCTTTATGACACCAGTTGTCTTTAAGACTTGTTTCACTCCATAATACAAAATACGATCCCTGTCCTACGAGAAAGTCTAAGCTCTACTACAAAAAATTGCGGGTTTAATGTACGTGCACCTTTCCACGGGGTGGCAGGAGAAAAAACACAAAGAAACAAACACACACACACACACACACAAACTAGTAAATACCTGGTGACTGACTTCCGGAAAAGCCGTACAATGAAACAAGTGATACAAAGATTTTAATTGCTGCCTTAATAATTATAAAAGCAAACTCAAAACATGGAAAACCGCTTATCTGCGTGAGATATGAGCGACATCTGGCGGCTATTTATGAAAAAAAGATGGAATTCGTTATAGCCAGCATCATGTGACCTAGAATATGAGGAGTGTCCGATGCGCCGGCTTCTACGAGGACCTTCTGCAATGAACTTCCGCACCGCGCCACTGCTGCGCCGGACCCGTGAGCTTTCTGCGTTTGGAAGCACGCGGAAAGCGAGGGGCGTCTGCTACGCGTGGTAGCTTATCTCGCGTGGTGAAATGGGGCGCTTGACGACTTACGGCTCTAAAAGCGCGGTAAGCTGATGAATCAGCCAGAAAGTTGAGCAGGTGGCAACCCCACGTATCCTTGCGTTGCTCCAATGACATGTCAGTGACGTCGACTGGTGACAAGGAAACGGATGGTGAAGCTGTGGTGGGTGCTAGAGGTTAACGGAGAAGAGCGTGCGCGTCGAAGTGCTTGCGGCCTGATGGGTACACATACTTTTGCAGCCTGACAGCCCAGTGACCGAGTCATCTCTACGGATCTTTTATCGATGCGAGCCAATCTTGAGCGTGGAGATTCGTGATGACGTCGAAAAGGTGGTCATAGAGGTACAGATGGAACGCAGCCAATTTCCAATTTATGGCAAAGCATTTTTTTCCTTGAGAGAATAGTTGCACTAGAATTTCTTCAGAGTTTGACTCGCGTAAGCAACGATGCATTCTTGGCACCCCATCTTTTTCTGAGCCAACACAGCACGAAGGCTAACACCACTGGCGTCAGTATGAATTTCCGAGGGTGCATCCGGGTCAAAGTGTCGGAGAATTGAAGGAGATGTTAGCAAGCGCTTAGCGTCTTGAAAGACTCGTCACACTCGCATGACCAAGCAGACAGGCTGTTAGAAGATGTGAGAAAGTCGGTAAGAGAGGCGATGATAGAAGCGAAGTCACGCATGAACCGGCGAAAAAAGAAACACAGCCTAAGAAACTTCGAATAGTCTTCATGCAAGTGGGCTTGGGGAATTCTGCCAGCCCACAGAGATTCGCTGGGTCCAGCTGAATGCTTTCTTGGCGAGTGACTTGACCAAGTGTTGTTGATTGGCGTGCCGCCAAATGGCACTTTTCTGTGGTGAGTTGCAGACCAGCTGAGCTGAGGCACTTCAGTATCTCCCGAAGGCGGCCAAGAATAATAGAAATATTTCTATCAAAAACTACAGTATCATCCAGGTAGCATAGGCAGCTGTTCCACTTGTAACCGCAAAAGACGTTGTCCTCCATCTGTTAGAATGCAGCTGGGGTGTTGCACGATTCGGACCTCATTACGGTAAACTCGTAGAGTTCATAAAGCGTTATGAAAGAAGTCTTCGAACGAACAGTGTCAGCCATTGGTACTTGCTGATACCCCGAGTGTGAGTCTACGGACGACAATTATTCTGTTCCTTGTAAGTAGAATATTTCTTGCTTTCCACCACGGAAACTCGATAGGAAATTGGCGAAACGGACCATTACAACTGGTGTCGATGTGCTTAGTGACGTTCTTTCTGCGGCCCAAGGTTTGTCGGGTGCATTCAAAAGATGAGCTGAAGTGGCTCAGAAGAGCTACAAGTTCGCTGTGATACGATAGCGGTAGGTCATCGAGAACCAGAGGACGAACATTATCTAGGGTTCAAAACATTGAAACAGGTGACGTCAAGGCGTTAAGCTGAAGGTAGGGTTCGTCCTCGGCGATATCAAGGGAAGTCAAGAGGTCGTTGCCTTGTGCAAGCCCCAGAGATGCCCTCCAAACAATGCCATGACAGTCGGTAAGTGAGTTGACAACGAGTATATCGTCGAACCAGACTTAACTGAGAGAATTACAATGGCACTCATAAGCCCCGAAGAAAGATAAGAGTTTAGATGGACCGAAAAATGCTGCCCCGTCCGGCAAAGTCGTTCAGGGATACGTAACAACGCCTCACGTGAAGGGGAAATATCTGTTTCCTCTGCGACGACAAGTTTGTGACTAGAAGGAGCCTCTGCAAGAGAAGTCTTCGAGGGTGTAAGAGCGACTTCCGCATGAGAGCAGTCTGTCATGGCGTTATGGCTTGAGAGGAAGTCCTATCCCTGGATAATGTCGTGCGAGCAGGACCGTAGCACGAAAAACTCGATCACGTAGAGTTCGTCTTGAATGGTAATCCGAGCACTGCCCACAGCTGACGGCGTAATGCACTGCGAGCTGGCAGTACAGACCATGAGTTCTGACAGCGACATCGTCAGCTTCTTCAGCTTGCAGCGCAGTGTCTTGGGGATGACGAAAAATGTAGCTTTTGCGCTAATAGGCGCTATGGTAACCGTTCTTCAACACCGACGTAAATAAAGTTTCGCGGCGAAAAACATGGAAGCCTTGGGCAGTCTAACTTGCCTGAAGCTCTTGCGTCCGGAGCTGCAGCAGTCAGTTTCCCTCCTCTGTAGTGGAACAGTGACGCATGGGGGACAGAGAGCGTTGTCGAGGATCGGGGATAGGGCACTGTAGGAGGAGGGGTCGTTATCCGAGATGGGAGTTGGTGGTGCGCTTGGCGACGAGGAATTAGGCAAGGCCATCATATTAAAAAAGAAGATATGTGGCGGTGGCAGTGGTGAACGACGTAGACAACGGCACCACACGCGCAGCAGATGGGCCTGTTGTCCGGCGTTCACCACACGTCTGGGCGGAGGCGAAGTCCCTGCCTAGTGAGGCGGCGCTGCATAATTCATGGTTGGCGGTGAGGCGGGGGCTGGAATCACAGGGCTGACATAGGGTGAAGGTTCCCGAAGGAGCCACAGGTGATGACAGGGTAAGTAATTAGCGCGGAGGTAGGCTCAGGGAAGGGGGCATAGAGATGAGCCTGCTGAGGGGGCCGAGGGGTGATGACAGCGTACGTAAGTGGTGCTGAAATGGGTCGTTGCGGAGATATGAAAGGTAGTGCCTCCACCATTTGGTTGCACATAACGTGCTGAATGTCTGGGGCTAAGGTCTGCGCCGATGCATTTATGAGGGCGAGCAATAAAAGCTGATGTGCTAGCTGCTCACGGATGAAGTCCTTGATGGTGGATAGCGGTGGCTGCTGGTCAGCATGACGAGTATTAATGTGCAAGCTAGATATGGTGTCCAACAATGTGAAGGCTTGGCGTGCAATTAAAATCTGCTGACGCATCTCGTCGAAAGTCTGATACAAAAAGAACAGTACTGCGCCATTGCTGGGGGCCTTGCGAGCAGGATCTGTAAAGCGTCGTTCTCGATGTCCTTGAGAGTGTGCTTGATTTTCTTCTCTTCGGTTATAGCGTAGTTGACATGGTTGCAGAGGTTAACCACATCTTAACTGTAGCCTTTAAAAATCTCATCGAGGAGCTGCGCCCGTTGACACAAACGCTGCTCTACCCGAAACTTGCGAGCCAACGGCCGACCGAAAACGTCAATAATAGAAGCCTTGAAGACAAACCAAGTGAAAACGTCGCTCTCGTGGTTGTTGTATCACAATTGAGCGATGTCCGTAAGATAAAACTGGGCGTACACAAGCTTATTTGGTCATCCTAATTGTTACTGGCACTAGTACGCCTGTAGTGCGACAGCCAATTATGCACATCCGAGTCCCCGGAGCCGGGGAAGATAGCCGACTCTTGCTGGCGATACATAGCGCCACAGGTAACATGGAAGGCTGAGGGTCTAGGCTGGAGAGCGGTCTCATTTACCATTATAGTAATGGGGTCACGAAGCGGGTGGAGGTTTCGGGAGCGAAGATGCGGGCTGGCACAGTGCCTTCATGTACCTCCAAGAAATTTGACGTGGTTTATTGATACTGGACGTCAGGGAAGCTCGACAAACGGAAAACATGAAGCGTCAAAAAGTAGCGGGCGTGAAGCAGCCAAAATCTGCGGAAACGCGAGCTACAGCCTGGTGCTTACCGACGCTGGTGCTTGCTTTGTTGCTTGAGTCTTTCGTTGTCGTCTTTCCTTCACTACAACAGGATGCTGTTCTTCACTGCCAGTAGTGGGCAACACTCTTGTATGTGGTCTGGGACGTGCGTGTAGTCACTTCGTCATGTCTTTAGGCACAAAAGGTAGATTTAGTTCATGCGTCACAGCATCTCGCCTTCTAAACTGGAAGCGTCATGGCATTCTGAGGATGAAAGACGATCGTCAATGCATCTTCATTCAGTTATAATACCATATATAATAATAGGTCCTTTATTTTTCATCAAGCAAATATTGAGAGAAGCAGGGAAAAAATCCGATGAGCAGCTTGACTAGCTAGTTATGTATATATGTTCCTCACAACTAGTCGTGATGTTTGATCGGTATACGCTTATTTCACGGGCTTCTACACCTAAAAGATTCATGTTTGTTCTGCCTTAAAAACGACGTAGCTTCCTTTGTGGCCCCGCGCGCCGTGGTGGTCTAGTGGCTAAGGTACTCGGCTGCTGACCCGCAGGTCACGGGATCGAATCTCGGCTGTGGCGGCTGCATTTCCGATGGAGGCGGAAATGCTGTAGGCCCATATGCTCAGGTTTGAGCGCATGTTAAAGGACCCCAGGTGGTCGAAAGTTCCGAAGCCTTCCACTACAGTGTCTCTCATAATCATATTGTGGTTTAGCAATGTTACACCCCACATATCAATCAATTCTTTGTTAGCTTAAAGACAAAGCATAACATACCTGACTTGCACCAGCCTTCTTCATCGAAAAGTTCGGTTGTTTCTTTCGGTCGCTTGTAGTAGCCTCGTGCCGCGCCTTTTATTGGAACTGGATTTCACCTATCTGACGTGGGCCAAGCTTCTCACCAGTGGCAAAATCCACGACCTAAAGAATAAAAGCAATAAATTACTTTGACATGCAGAGCTTTAGTAGTAAAAACCTATTGTTATACTTTGCGCATCGGTAGGAGCGTGCCACCAACATAAATTTATCAGAGGTTAGGCAATACGGCTACTGTCAGTAAAAAAAAAATGCGTTGAAGATATCTGACAAGCTGCGAATGCTTCCACTTTGCTAGAATTTATATGAGTAGCTAACTCGCTTCAGTGATGTTTCTATTCAGGCGTGTCATTCAAGTTTACGCACTTTGGAGCTTCAAATTTTGCTACATACAGACGGAAGTTGCAGATATTCTAGAGGTTGGTCTCTATGTGTTAGTCACCTCACAGCAAACCTATTACAGCTTCGCAGAAGACGTAGCACACACTTCAGGTCAAGGAACCATTTTGTTCTCTGACCTAAATACATCTGCACCAGTGAGAACAATTCCCCTAACTAGCTTTGCCTGTTATGCTTGTAGTGCTGTACGTTGTCTACGGCGCATCAACTTGCACACGTTTTGCTTCTGGTGCCTTTCTGTTGCTGCTCTAATGGGTGGGTATTCCTTGTTCATATCAGTACTATCCTGATGACAAATAAAAATTTGCTTCAAAATAGTGAGTTGTTCTGCAAGCGTATTACACATCTCGCATAAGAGAGCGTGACATTGGTAAGAAGGAAAGAACACGCAATGGAAAAAAACGCGCGTTCTTTCTGTTTTGTGTGATTCTCTTCAAGCTATTCTCTGCCCCAGTACGCTCTAAATTACCGTGCGTTCAATGTAATCGAACGGTTTGTGTGTAGGCGCATACCCAGAAATGTTTTCCGGGGAATGGGGGATCATTTATTTGATTTCGAGGAGGGCGTCTTCTTGAAATGTTCATTTTCCCTGTCAATGCCATGGCGAAAAAATGTTGGGGTCACGGGCCCGCCTGGCGAAGTGCTCGGTTCATAGGTACGGGCAATAATGAATGTGGCAGTAGCCTATATTGAAAGTTTTGAAGTCGGGTTGAAAAAACTGCCAGGCCTACGCAGAACGCGCAGCACAGTCTCAGCAAAAGCTGGAAGAGCCGCCTTTCAGTGCCTTTTTTGAGCACTCTTTGGGTAACTACTACAACAACACTTTCAGGGTACCTACTATGCCATAAATATTCAGATTTTTCATGCAGTAGGCAGACATTCTATTTCCCATATCCTTCGTCATTCTTCAGAGATTCATAAAGCCCGCTACATACTTGCAGAAAATTTTGTGCAAATTTTTGATGCTCTGAATGACGACCATGAAAAATTCTGGATTAGATGAAGCAACATAATTTCCTAGGTAATATGTAATAAATTTATTATATAGCCTCCGGTATTCTAAAAATGTATATTATCTTAGTAAACCACCCAATTCTTTCACAATACCCCACAGTGGGTATGCGCACATTCGATAGGTGAACAAAAACGTGCTTTCGTTATCAGTAGGAGCATTCTACAACCCAAGTCTTACGCAACTTTCGTTCTGTGACACCTACTTGTTCTTTTCCTAATCTAAAACACTTTATTGCTGATATTACCGCAATTCATTTCCCAGCATCAAGCTTGCCTAAGGCCAGTTCGCTACAGAGGTTAAAGCATTGTAGTGGCTCTATGGTAGAATATAGGGATGGCACGCAGTAGCCCCGGCATCAAATCCTCTTCTGTCTATAGTGTTTTAATTTACTTGGCTTTTTTCCTTACCACGTTTTTGATTGAGGACACCAGCGGCGGCGGATAACTACGGCGCAGGCAACCCTTGTTGAAATCTCATAGCAGCATTTGCTGTAAAAGCTTCGCTACTATTACTGCTGACGTATTGAAAGTGGTTGAATCTCTGCTGTCTTCCTTTGTACAGTCTTCTTCATGGTGCGCAAAGGGGCACTGTACCTGTATATAAGAAAATTGCTTCCTCCAATACGACAGTTGTTCGCAGTGCTCTTGTGGAGTCTTCTTCATCTTCTTTTAATTAACACCTGAATTCCTAAGTATGAAGGCATTCCGACACACCCAGTCTACACTAACTGTGCTACGGTCAATTGGGGAACACCGATCATTTTGCCATATGCAGATTTTGACACTGTCATGTCCAGTAAACACATGTTCTGTACTATTTCGTTTTTTTTGTCGGAATTTAGTGATTTCAAGATGGCTACGTAATTATTTTAACACGAACTTGTTTTATGTCAAGTCCAAAACGATTTCAGTGATGTACTGCAGTTGCGGAAATGACGTCAAAAAGGTACGCACAATCGGAAAGCAAAAAATGGCAGCCGAATCACGAAGTGAATGCTGATGGTAAAGCAAAATTAGGACTTAATGTTCTTATTGTCAACATTGAAGTTACCGACTAATATAAAAGGCGGACAGATGCACCAACGGTCGGATGGAAAGAGGAACGGGCAGAGTATGGTGTATGGGGACTATGACCGCTCTATGTAGGGTATAGACGTACAGACGACGGGGACCTTCGATGACTGAGACGACGAACACTGTGCGAGAAAGAGGGGCTTCACTTTAAAAAAATCTTTTATCAATGAGAATCGAACTTAACACTTTTCGGTCCGCTTGATTTCAAGAGTAAATTATCCTGGCGGGGCACTCGACACTTTCGCTTAACGATTCAAGAAGTCTGTTTTGTGATCTCTGAGCTTGGTTAGTGAAAGCAATAGGAAAAAGGAAACGTGTCCTAGACATTACCTACAGTGCTTGCGTATATAGAAGCTAAAAAAGTTGGAGGTATGTAGGGCGCCTTTGTCATTTTTACGACCATCAGTAAGATAGTTAAAATATATGATTCCGTGACGAGAAAGAACGAGCGCATAACAGTCAATAGCCGGAACGAGATATGTTTCGTAATTCGCAAAACATGCTAAAAAATTACTGATTGCCGTAAAGATGTGGTGTCTAAGATACCGCTCAGCTGCGGTTGCTTCTATACGTGGGACAAACAAGTCGATGTGTTAAACGGACAATAATAGATCATAACCGGTTTTCAGCCATTTTCGAAAGCGCTATAGTGCGCCAAGATTCGATTCGAAGATTCGAATTTTTTGAGAGGCACAAATTTTAGAATCGGGCTTCTTAGCAGAGGCTTGACATTTCGACAATAGTCATAGCGCATGTTTGATTCTAACGTCGATCAACTTGTGCAAAGAAAAAAGCAGGTGCCCGAACAGGCATCTTTTCTCTATAGAGACCACGCGTGGAGGAGTTATGGGTTTGCCTCTGTCGGGGCATGCAGAGGCAATACTGTATCTACCTTTAGCCGTCACTGAGCGCTTTTTCTGTTACAGTAAGTTTTCGGGCTCTTGAGCTCTCTAATGATTGATTTGATGATTTGTGGGGTTCAACCTCCCAATACCACCATATGATTATGAGAGACGCTGTAGTGGAGGGCTTCGGAAATTTCGACACTAAGGGTTCCTTAACGTGCACCCAAATCTGAGCACACGGGCCTACAACATTTCCGCCTCCATCGGAAATGCAGAGGCCGCAGCCGAGATTCGATCCGGCTACCTGCGGGTCAGCAGCCGAGTACCTTAACCACTAGACCACTGCGGCGGGGCCTCTTGAGCTCTCTATAGTATCCGTGTTCGCACACTTAGGAAATTGTCGTTCATACATCGGCTTGTGTGTCTGATGCACTTTGTTGTGTGGCTTTAACGGAACACACACAGACTTTTTACCGTACGACGTGAGTGCGGCGCCACCGTTCACTTCTTTACGAATGTTTTCTTAATTTTTACTTTGAGACGTTAACGTCTCAAAATAACAATATGATTATGAGAAACTTCGTAATGAAGGGATCCGTAAATTTTCATTATCTAGTGGTCTTTACGTGCACTGACATAGCACAGCACACGGGCTTAACCATTTCGCCTTCACCAAATTGCAACCACCGCGGCGGCAATCAAATCAGCGACTTTCGGGTGAGCAATAGGGCACCGTAGCAACTGATCCACCTCGGTGGACTGAACAGGTCAGAAATTATGACGCAAGAAAAATTGGGCAAGTGTGTAGGACATAACTGACTATACGAACAGCACAACCTAAAAATAGTTACAGTGAAACTACAGAAGCAAAGAAATCAGGACACAAAATAGCGCCGACTTTCAACAATGATTTAATGGCGGAGAGGTGTACATAAGTAGGCGAAAAAAGAAGAGAATGGGCATGCGTATAAGTGTCCAGCTAAACTCTTGTCTTCTGTTGATTCAGCAAATAGATGGTTTCATTTTAATTGTTAATTGTTTAGGTGGCGTTTTGAAGTTGTTGCCTCTGTTGTTTTTGCGTTGTTTAGAAAGCACTTGCATCTTTTGAAACTCCCTCATGAGCTAACGTAATTAAATTATGTTTTTGGACCTAACACTCAGTTTCCGGAGCAATCGTTTGTGCTGGCTGTTCTCATCGAGAAGTGGTAAGCACCTCTAACCTTTTCACTCAGCTCAATCGGATCTGGTGAAAAATGGTATCATCAACGGTTGCCTTGTTAACGTTCTTAGGAGGTCATGCTCACACTCTATGCAACGCAGTTTCCTAGCAAAGGTCGAGCACCTCTTAAACGCTTGTTACTCAAGCGCCCTGATTTCCGCTGATGCGGAAAAGAGCTTTTGAAGCAATTCAAAAACCAAGAAGGACGATCTAAGCCTCGCCCCGCCGCGGTGGTCTAGTGGCTAAGGTACTCGGCTGCTGACCCGCAGGTCGCGGGTTCGAATCCCGGCTGCGGCGGCTGCATTTCCGATGGAGGCGGAAATGTTGTAGGCCCGTGTGCTCAGATTTGGGTGCACGTTAAAGAACCCCAGGTGGTCAAAATTTCCGGAGCCCTCCACTACGGCGTCTCTCATAATCATATGGTGGTTTTGGGACGTTAAACCCTACAAATCAATCAACGATCTGAGCCTCAAAATATGTCAGTTCCTAAGAACTGTGTTGCAGTCCCTTATCCGCACAAAGTTTCGCATAGGCTGAAGAAAATCGGGAAACGA